AGCAACATGAATCCAAAACCAGTGGAAAATCCAGCAAGCTTTTATACCCACGCATTAACAGGCATATTTTATTGCGTGCTGAACTTGCGAAGATTGCAAATGCTAACAACCGAAACAGGGGGAGTTGTCTTCGTATCACGTGATCCACTCTTGGATCGCACACGTCGACAGGAAATGTTTTCCTTCGATGCTAATCTCATTGCCGCCGTAAATAATCGCCATTTCAAATGCCTCAATCAAATAATCGATAATCGATTATCAATATGGTACTTGTTTACGAGGGAAAGCATTTTGCCGTGTCCCGTACACACCCCTGTGTTATGCAGATCGCAGTGAGAGGCGTGAATTGGCTTGAATCGGTAAAAAAAAAAGAAATTTCGCACGTCATTCAAGAGAGCGAAGAAAAAAGTTGGATTGAATGAAGAAGATGGGGATGAAGAAAGAAAAGAAAAAATGGAAGGATTTAGACAGAGGAGGAGGAAGAAAAAGAAGTAGACGGAAGAAGTTGAGGGTGCAAGAAAAAGGAAGAGGAGGAGAAAATATGAAAATAAGGAAAGGGAGAAGGAAGAGAATAGAGGAGGAGGACGTAGAGTGAAGAGGAGGTTGATAAATAGAAGGCGGAGTAAGAATAAGAAAAGAAAGGTGAAGGTAAGGGAGGATGAAGAAGAAGGAGGAGGAGGTGGAAGAAAAGGGGACAGGAGGAGGAGGAAGATGAGGAGGGGGAGGAAGAAGAGGAAGAAAATGGTGGAAGAATTAAATTGAGGAGGAAGTGGAGGAGGCGGAAGAAGAAGAAGAAGAAGAAGAAGAAGAAGAAGAAGAAGAAGAAGAAGAAGAAGAAGAAGAAGTGGGTGGAGAATGGAGGAGAAGGAATAGGAGAGGAGGAAAAGTACAAAAGGAGAAGAATGAAGAACATAGACGAAAATAAAGAAGAAGAAGGAGGAGGAGGAGGAGGAAGAAGCTGATGGAGAAGGAGGAGGGGGATGCTAAAGAAAAAGAAGACGGACTAAAATCACGTGATACGTTTTAGACCTCTGCTTGCATGCCATCTAACATGACAGTTGCTAAAAAAAGTGACTTCAATCATTATCACAAAAATGACGCTACCGTTTGGAAAGCTTTTAATAACTTCAGAAGACTTTTTCCCTAGTGAGCATTTCGATAAATTTTCCAATTATGATTTTAATATGGGCAAAATCTGGGGTATCATTTATTTACTTTTTTAATAATAGAAAGGTGATCCCCCACTTAAGGTTCATTAGCATCTTCCATTAATACAAGTTTATTGGCGCCATAAAACAAATGACGATATAATTTGGAAAGCCCTTATTGCTTCAGATTTTCATACATTAGCTTTTCGACTTTATCCCGTGGGGATGCTTCTCCGACCACTACAATCTTAACTTCTTCAAGATTAGGGTCAACCGATATCTATTCTACATCTACTTATCATATACACGCCTTCCTCCTTGCTCATTCCTTGCGCACTTAAAACAACATCTACCGGTAACACTCTAACTTGGGAGGATCTTTAGCCTAGTATTGGATGAACAATAGCAATATATATATATATATATATATATATACGATTATTATTTTTCTAAATGTAAAGCTCTGTAATATCAATCTTCCTCTATGGCAGTGAATTCTAGATATTAGTATGTCGGAAGATACCTTCGAAAAGCTAAACAAAGTATTAAGAGACAGAAAATTTTCATTGGAAACAAGACAGTAACATATTACAAACACCTAACAAGGCAAAAGATTACTTTCATTATTCGGACTGTTATCCTCATTGCCATATTTACAACGTTTCGGCCGTTGTATGCCCCGGCCTTCTTCAGGTGATTGGAATTTCGAACCGAAACTTTTATTTCGTTCACCAGGGTAGATTGCTCTAGTTCCACGTGCCATACCTCTTCCGGATATCTCAGTTATTTTCTTTTGACTCAACTCTCCATGTTTTGATTCACTGGTGTAACGCCTGGTATTGAACTCACAACTATTCGGGGCTAGTCAGTGGATCTAACCAACGTCTTTATCCACTGGGCCATGTGTCCTTGGGGACACCTGTGTATGATATTTTGGGACTTATAAACCTGTGCTTCAGCACTCATTTTTTACCAGTGCTCATATGGCAATTTTTCTGTTATTAAACGTTGTGAATATGGCAATGAAGATTAGGATAACAGTCCGAATAATGTAAATGATGTAAGTAATCATAATACTTCATCTCAGAGATATAGACAGATATATACAGAGACATAGACATAAAGGTCGGGGTGTACAACGGCCGAAACGTTGTGAATATGACAATGAAGATGGGGATAACAGTCCTAATAATGTAAATAATTCAAGTAATCATAATACCTAATCTCAGAAATATTAAACAGATACAGCAATAGGTTTTAGACTGGTAAACGCAGAAAATTGTTACAGGCAAACGTTTACAGACATTACGCTAGACACCATAAAACGTTATTAACATTACATTAAACAAAACGGAAGGTTACAAACATTACACAAAGCCGAACATCAGATTACTGTCATTGCACTAATCACATCATATGTTTACTGACATCATACTATACCCAACAAAATATTACAGATATTAAACCTAACACGGCAAATAGTTACGCTAAACATCCCATATTGAATGGTGTAATAAGATCAAAATTTATAAATTTAAGCCTAAGTTTTGCTTCAAACAGCAGAGTAATTTTTGATAATTTTTAAACCTAAAAACAGCGTTCGAATATTCATTCTCAAAACAGGTATGGCGCAATTTTCTCATTTTTGTTTTTTTGCTTTATCTGACCTTATAACATGCTCTTAAGAGGCACCTGCAAGAGAGAGATTTCATCTGTGTGGTTTTACAAATCAATCGATCTATGATCTTCACTAACTGCCCACTCTACTGTAGCATTGCGTCAGACAAAATTAATCGTAATAAATTTCCCCTTATTTGGGGTTCAAAGCAACGACAAAATGTTTATAATTTAAGTAAGTTCAAACAGAAAATAATGCTCTTCGCTTAATCTGGTACCAATCTACAAATGCCGAACAGCCAACGAAGGTCGAAATCACTACATTAGTAGCCCTTGAACTAATTTCCTAGCACATATTGAAACAGAGGCGAATTTTTTAATGTTCTACTCAAAAGTTCTACTCAAAATACATGTACTCACTAATTATAACGTTTACAATAACAACAATTATATAGGAATTAATTTTCCTTATGTTTTCCGATGTTTTCACAAAAGGCTATGGTTAAACATTGGAAAACGTAAGGAAAATTGTTCCTTTTAATAATATTTGGAAATAACCACTCTTTGCCTGATGAAAGTTTCAAGACCGGAAACACGTTTAGCAAAAAATATGGAAAATAATGTATAATATATATTTAAAAAATCCACATTGTAACCAAAAAACGGTTGCAGCTTCCCTCTTCTCTTATATATATATATATATATATATATATATATATATATATATATGTGTGTGTGTGTGTGTGTGTGTGTGTGTGTGTGTGTGTGTGTGTGTGTGTGCGAGCGCGCCTGTGCGTGTTGGTGTGTGTATCAGTGGTGAAGTGTCCATGAATACAACGCATACACTATATGCCTTTGATTTTTTTTTCTAGCATAAATCTCTGTGTAATAAAAAAATATTATGTGTCTATATCTCTGAGATGAGGTATTGTGATTACTTGCATTGTTTAAATTATTCGGAGTGCTATCCTCATCTGCATTGCCATATTCTAATCACCCTAAGAAGGCCGGAGCGTACAACGGCCAAAACGTTGTGAATATGGAAATGAAGATGAGGATAACAGTCCGAATAATTTAAATAATGCAAGTAAATAATATTAATGATAATTTATACTTCTGTCCTTGCACTCGTGATAATTTTTTTAATATCTCTTTTTCTTTTTCTTAGGCAAAACTGAGTAGAGTGGTCAAAGCAGAGAAGGTCCTTGCTTCTGTAGACCACTCGACAGTTTTATTCCAAAGCGCAGAAAACGCTTCAACTCCTCCATGGGTCATGGAATGCCGAAAATGAATTTTCTTGGAAGCTTTGGAGTAATAAAAATATGTCCTCATCTTTGTCGCCATATTTATTACAAAGTTTCGGACATTCAGTATCTGTCTGTATTTTTGAGATGAATTATTATGTACATTATTTACATTATTCGGACTATTGTCCTCATCTTTGTAGCCATATTTATTACATCGTTCCGGCCGTTGTACGCTCCGGCCTTCTTCAGGTGGTTGGAATGTTGAACTTAACCCTTTACTTCGCTCACTGGAGAGCCTACCCCAGTGAGCGAAGTAAAGGGTTAAGTTCAACATTCCAACCACCTGAAGAAGACCGGAGCGTACAACGGCCGAAACGTTGGAATAAATATGGCGACAAAGATGAGTATTATTTGATGCTGAAATCTAAATATTTTATACGCAATTTTATGGTTTAAACTAACATAATGTATTGTTGATCATTTTGCTATGAAATCTTTTTATATAAAAATGTATTGCCAGTATTTTTACTATGAAAATCTATTTTTATACTTTCATAAGGTTTTGTTTTTGTTTGGGCGCTTCACTATTTTACCCATAACTGGAACCCTAACAGGTGCTACTACCTCGGTTCAGGGTGGGCCTGGGAACAGCAATTAAGAGGTGGTTCCTTCCTTTGCCGCTATCAGAAAACAATTCCTCCAGTAACCATCTACTTTGATTTAGTGATTTGTTATTACGGTTAACCAACCCTTTGTAGGTTATTTAAAGCCAGAAAATATTCTTAGATTATAATAATTTTTGGAAGATAATAACGATTTACTGATAGAAGTCTTACTAATTAAACCCATTCTGAGGGAGATGTGAAATCGTACATTTCTTAAGATTATTTGCACGTAAGTGACTATAACAAACCCGACTGGAATTGGAACTCGACTCTCTGATTTCCAATTTCGAACCACCATCTATTAGACCATCCTCACCTCCAAGCTTACAGTACATGGTATTCCCAAGCGCTCACCCATCTAGGTACTGATCAGGTTCGACGTTGCTTAACTTCGGTGATCGTACGGGAACCGATGTTTCAACTTGATGTGACCAGGAGCCTCCTCTACCTCGAGTGGCTCTTAGACCTTGTGAACATTAGTTAAAAAAAATGAGGAAGATAGTATTGCTTGTATCCATTAACCCTCATCATAGACTACGCATCCCGGTTTCAAGGCCAATCTTTGCCACTGGTATGCATGAATATGTGTGTGTGTCTTTATTGAGCCTATTTTATCTTCAGTATCTGTCTATATTTCTGTGATGAGGTATTATGTACATTATTTGCATTATATGGACTATTGTCCTCATCTTTGTCGCCATATTTATTACAACGTTTCGGGCGTTGTACGCTCCGGCCTTCTTCAGGTAGGTGAAATGTCGAACTGAACTCTTTATTTCGCTCACTGTTCTAGTTCCACGTGCCATGTTTAATGGATGTCAGTTATCAGTTATCTCCTGTTAATTCTCCTCTGAAAATTCTCCACTGCCTTAACCGGGTATTGAACTCACACTCTTTTGGGTCTTGTCACTGGATCTAACCCACGCCTTATCCACTGGATCTAACCAACGCCTTATCCACTGTGCCATGTGTCCTTCGACATTCCAACCACCTGAAGAAGGCTGGAGCGTACAACGCCCGAAACGTTGTAATAAATATGGCGACAAAAATGAGGACAATGGTCCGAATAATATAAATAATGTATATTTTATCTTGTATAAATTCAACTATAGGATAATAATCTTGGTTAAACTTTATCATCAAGACTCTCATGTCAATATCTTGCGAAAACGTTTATAGATATTGACGTTGTAGATGAACCCGCTATAACTACAGACACTATTACCAATACCACAGTTTTCCTACATCATCCAGAAAATCCTGCCAATAATGTTGAACTCTATGTCAACGCCTCTAAAACTGAATTCATAGGCTTCAACAAGCAAGGCTCAAGACAAACTGTCGCAGTTGGATCAATAATATCTGTTGAATCTTTTACATACCTGGGAAGAGAGATAAACAGCTAAACCCTAGGCCGCATTGATGGATGTAATCTGGACATCTGATCTACCAAACAACTTCAAACAGAGATTCTTTCGAGCCACTATAGAGTCGGTGTTAATGTATGCTGCCACTTATTGGACAATAACTAAATCTGTTGTGTCTAAGATTAATTGAACATACACTCGGATGCTAACATCTATTGTAAAACATATCCTGAAAGTAGTCTCGAAAATGCCAGCATTTGTGGTCACCTTCCTCTTGTCCTGCAGCGTAATGCTCGTGATATATTGAGTGCATGCATTTCGAGCCGCCTCTTCACGTAATTCTGGGTCCATTTTCCTGGCCCCGGAAGACATTCTTTTTAACCTAGCCCTAACTACAACAGTTTGTTCCTTCTTGATAAACAAGGAGGTCAGATCTGGGCAGGAAGAGGAGAGTGACCAGTCTCTCCACACTTCCATCAAGTTGGTTTATGGCCTGTCATAATGGCCAGCATTTTCTGGATTTCTACATTTAGACAGTTGGGGATGGAGGCGAAAGTTTTACAGTCAATCATAATTTCGAAACTCCACCCCATGTTCAGGCCGTCGGAGGAAACACTTAGTATATATCCAAATTGAGCTAGATAAGCGGCCAATTGCTCCCCTACGATATGAGGGGGAACCTCAAATACTTGGTAGGCCACCTTCCCTGATATCCAGTTATTATGATGCGATCTTTTGTGATAAGATTCCGACTGGAAGTCTCCTCGTACTCCGCAGGCATGGGAAACGTTACGTCCTACAAAAAATATCCTTTGCCTCTTATAATTCTTTAGGGTTTCAGCCCCAGGGACATCAGGGATTTGATAACGGTGTCTTTTCTTGAGCGACAATTTTTGAGCGAACTCTTGTCCACCACAAAGTTTGACACAATTCAATTTTCAAACTTCTGTAATTCCTGAAGGTCTACCAAGAGCGTATCTTCTTCGATAACATATTCGTAGCTTTTGGCTTTCTCCAGGAATTCTGTCACCCAGCAAGAGGGCGAGTCCCCGGTCGCTACATTTTCGTCTTTGCTTTTGCTGTTCTTGTTATTGGAGTCAGATGGCAAAACCTTTTCTCGATTTTGGCTATTCTTGGCATCCATACTTTCCCCTTAATCTATTTGGTCATCAGTCTTTTGGGTAATGGCTACGTTCTCAGTAGTCATTGATCGAGTGTTTTTAACATGAGTTTTTTTTTTCTTTTTCGCCCCGAACAAGTCATTTTTTAAAAGTCTGATGTTTATCAGCCATTTTTGCTTACATTAAATTACTTTTTTCTTTTTCCTTTCTTTATCCAAAAACAGGGAATTTTCTTAAAATAAATAACAGAATATTTTGAACAGATACAGAACAATGAAAAACAAACTTACAAAGATAATGATACAAAAAGACCGACCCAAGCTGGTTCAACAAATGGGGTTTGTGCAAAAAAAACGGTTGCACGAAGTCCTTCTCGAAGAAGGAAAACAAATTTAACAATGAAAAAAAAAGAGAACAAGAAAACAGGTAAAAAAGAAAACGATTGTCGTCAAAAATAAAAGAAATAAATTTACTAAAAAAACGTAACTAAAAATGTTTTCCCCATTTTTTTATAAATTTAAACCAGCAAAGTAAATAAATTATGAAATAAATCCTACAAAAAATAAAAATTATAAAAATAGAGACACGTGTAAAAAAATTTTTACTAATTAAACAAAATGGCCAACAAACATGAAAATAAAATAAAAACAGATTAAACTAAAATTAAACTTGGCTTTCGCCTGGAGGGAGATGAGTAAAAATTAATTTCAGGGCTCGTAGAAAACGAAAACCAAATGTATTAAGCAAAAAGAGAATGTATACGAAAAAAAATATTTAAGAACCCGGGTCTGACTAATATAAAAACTGAAAATTAAATTACAATTATACACAAAAAATTAACCTATTGAAACTAGATGTTAAACTAGCAACAAAAATTAAAAGGCCTCCTCTTTTCCCCTGAAAAAAACTGCATAGCATGATGAACATAGACCCCAAATAACAAAGTTTTATCGTCAAAATGTTTATGCTATTAAAAGAAGAGGAAAGACCAAAGTATTTTTTTATTAATATTTATAATGCTTTCTAGCACGTTTGAAATTTTGGTTAAAAATATTATTTTTATTTTTACGTCAGCGATCTACGTAATATTTATCATTAGTGTTTTAAGGTTTTATAGTTAAAAAACACACTGATTTAAAAATTGTTGCAATGATCAAATGTCGGATTTTAATAAAACTTTCATAAATTTTTCACAAAGAAATGAAACTATTTATTTTTTTTTTTTTTAGAAAATTTTTGTACTTTTTTTTTGCATATGTTACCATCTTAATTTCATGAAATTTCGAGAAATTAAATTTATCCTAGAATTTTTTTATTAGTTAAAAGCAAAACTCCTTGAACAATGTAAATCAACTTTTTTTTCAAACTACTACTCATTTCGCGAAAATCTGCTCCGAATCATGAAATAAAAAATGCAATAAAATGTTGACATTTTTTAATTAGAAAAGCTTTTAATTGCTTTTATAAATGAGATTTATTAAGGGCACTATTGTCATAAGAATTTTTTTACGATGAATAATGAACTTTTACAAGAATTTCTTTTCATTTTTTATTATTTTAATTATAATTTATTATATATAAATCTTTTAAAATTCTGTATTCCTATTCCTTGGATAGGTAATATTGTTATTACGTAAAATCTATATTTACAAATCGAAAAGCTTAATAAAAGTCGTTTTGCATCAAGATTTTTACAATAGTTTTAATTTTATATGTATATAAAATATTACGTAAAGTGTCACTGTTTGAAAGTACGGTCGACCATATACGACATTATCAGAAAATATGAGCGATGGGTATAATAGATTTTGAGTCAACATTCTTAAAATTAGATTACGAAGGATATTTTCAAACATTTTTAAGATTACTAAGTACTTAAAAATTATTTTTTAAAAAAAGGGCTCAGCCTTCATTTTGTTAAATTCTGTTTAACAGATAAATCTCTGTAGAACAACAATTTGACACATTTATCATCACTTGTTAAGCGATCTACGAGTAACTAGCGACAGTGTCAATCGCGTAATCACCGATAATATTTGTTTTAAAAATTCATTTCTCTGTTATTTTAAACTTAAGGTAAATCCTTTTTTTTCAGATCAGATTAATTGTATTTAAGACTACTAATATTCTGCAAATAATGTTTCAAAAATGAGTATTTTATTTTTGGAAGATTTTTAAAACCGAGAATAAACTTTTGTTTACAAATGTTTCAAAAATAGTCGATTTTAATGACTTTACTGAAAACAACCAAAATATTGAGATTCCAATCAATATAATTTCTATTTTAAATAACCCAGAGTATTTTGCTTACTGGAAATAATAAATTTTATCATTTAGCTTTCAGTTAAAGCTAAAAAGAAAGCCTCAAGAATGTTTTTGTCATTTTTTAAAAATTCATTTAACGCTTAGGTATTGAAAATTTAGTGGAAGTCCCTATAGTAAAACGATCGCCATTTTGTGTTTTTCATTGTCAGACAAGCGTCACTTCCGGCGACTAGTGAATTGTGGGCGTTCCAGCAAACAACCTGTCACTGGAAGCTGTTTTACGAGCGAAGTGAATGCAAAAGACGACAACGAGATCCGAATCGATTAATCTATTATTAGTATTTTCTGGATAAACAAGTAAAATCCAGGTTCACAACAACAACAAAAATCAACAACCTTCTTTCTTTTTTATCTTAAACATTTTTCGCCTCTCCCATTCAAATTATCATATTATCCTTCATGTTATTTTTTCCTGTCTTCTTTATTTTGGTCTTCACTTTCCACTCATTATGCATCGCCCTTTTTTTTCTATCGAGAGACGAGTTTTTTTCCGCCATCCGAAAGTAGTCTTCTTTTCTTAAGTTTGTGGCGGACTTCATCACATTAATTTAACTTTAGATTAGGAAACAGGGCTGACACAGAAAAGGATAAGCAAAAGACATTGTTACACATAAAATATG